TGGATACGTGCCCCCGGCAGACAGCACCTCCCGAGATGAAATGTCAGGGCGACAGATGGGTGCGTCCGTCCCCTCAGAAGAGAGTCTCCGACCACCACTACCCTACGTTTCCTATTCGCAGTGGTGGCAGCAGACCTCCCAGCCTTGGGGGTACGAGGCTTCTCTTCCTCCATTGTAGGGGGTGATTCTTTATCTCCTGTATAAAGAGGAGCATAACGATTTCCTAGTACCACAGCAGGAGGGTTCGGAGCAAGGATGGAGCAGTGGCGGGAGGGTTCGGAGCAGGGATGGAGCAGTGCCTGCTGCCAGAAGTAACCAGCTGCCAGTGTCCACCCTGAGCCATCTCCTCATCCACCAGTGGTGTGTCCACAGTCCTGTGTACTGGGAAAGCTACCTCAGCTGTTTCTTCATGAACACGGTTCAGGAATTGCTCGTGGATTCAGGTGCTTCTCAACCTAGCCACCTCCTCCTGTAGCTTTCCCACCTGCTGCCTGCGAGATTCCACCAGCAGGCACCTTTCGCATTGGATGATCTCTCCAGCCTGGATAGCAGTAAGTGGGAATTGCAAGCCACAGTCCCTGCAAAACCACACCAGGATCTGGGTAGAGGCGTTCATGCTCATGCGCTCTGTCTGGCTGCAGGCTCAGGTGGAGGAGACAGAAGCAGTGCTGGCACAGGTGTTGCGGGTCTTCCTGACCATCGTAGGCCTCCCTCTGTCAAACTACCTCTCAAACTCCCCTGTCTACAGCCCCAAGTCCACTTACGCTCTCTGGTCACTCTGCCTCTGGCTTTTAAAGCCTGCTTGCCTAGGCCAGGCCTGCCCCCTCGTGAGTCACACAGGGGAAAGCTGACCAGATGCAACCAAGAGAGCAACTGAGGAAACAAAGGGTCAGACACTCAGTCCCAACTGCCACAGCAGCTGAAACTGAAACTGCAGTCACCCGAAATCAGAATCAGAATTTAACAAACAAAATTCAAACAGTCGAGCAAACTCACTCACACCAAAAGTGAGTACTCTCACCAAGTAGCCTGTTCAGCAGCGGGATCTCTTGCGGTCCCTCTCAAACTCCCCTGTCTGTAGCTCCTGTCCGCTAATGAATGGAAGATAGCTAACGTGTCACCAATATTTTAAAAGGGGTCTAGAGCTAATCCTGGCAATTACAGACCAGTAAGTGTAATGTCAATGCTAGGCATATTAGTTGAAACTATAGTAAATAATAAAATTGTTAGACACATAGATGGACATAATTTGTTGGGGAAAAGTCAACCTGGTTTCTGTAAAGGGAAATCATGCCTTACTAATTTACTAGAGTTCTTTTAGGGGGTCAACAAACATGTGGACAAGGGGGATCCAGTGAATATAGTGTACTTAGATTTCCAGAAAGCCTTTGA